ACGTATTGACAGAGTTTGGTTTTCAATTTAAAAATTGTCGAATCCCCATTTTCCGAGCCCAGCGATCTTTGGTCAATCACAACAGGTTGTGGGATAGGTGAGAAGTAACTACGGAAAAAATGATACTGGCAATTTTGCGAATAATCGCGCGTCTCACATCCACATCTCGGCTGCCCTTCTTGTCCTGTTTCTAGCATAACGTTTTCTGTCCCAGTGTTCAAATGGGTTTATAATCAATCGAACGCACAATAAAAATGATGCGATATTAAAATGCTAAAGTAAGCGAACATGCTCGAACTTGTTAGAGGCAAAACACTTTATCTTTTCTTGATGGTCTCTATATTCCCTGATTTCAACTGCTTTTTTGATGTTAGCTTGATAGCCATCAAACACTTTGGATGGCACTGCTACATACATAAAGCTGGGGGCACAGAACAACAAGCTTTATTATGGCAGTCGCTGCCTCACTTACTTGTACCAATAACCCCATGTCCTCTCAACACTTTAGATGGTGGCTCAATGAATAGTGTACTGATTAGGATAGTCTACTCAGAAAGAGACAACTTGTGGGTACTGTGGCATTTCTCCTGTCATTACATCTAAACTCGTCTTTATCATGTCTAGAGAGTCGCCATATTCAAGAGCAACTGCCTTATGAGCCATGGATAGTCCAAGGTATCGCCATAAGCAACAAACAGCTAGTATTTTCAAATGTTGGCACCAAAAAAACTCCTATAGTGCTCATCCTCACATATAGGCTTGAGGATGGCAAGTACAATATCAGTGGGTAGGCTGTTGAGATGCATTCTTTCCAGTTGTGCAGAAGCAGGGCAAATAATGTGTGTTTTCAAAAAGTGAGAGAAAAGAAAAGAAAAATTGAATTGCAAAAAGCAACAAAGAAATGATATCTTCACTTGTGTTGCTTTATTTATTTAAAATAGCTGATAAACTTTAATGAATCGACTGTGCTAAACATAAGTGCATTGAATGCTTTACAAAGAGGCTCAAGAGAGTCAGCATCTGTATCAAAGCCATATACCAATGATTCAACCTTGGACTTTATTGGGCTGACCACATTTGCAGCTTGGAGTTCTGGGATGCATACTGAGCCATCTTCCAAGGTTTCTACCTCAATACTGTATACCTCTATTGGCACAAGGTCAGGTAGTCTTGATCCAAAGAGCATCAAAGCATCAACTAGTGGTATGGGATGGTCGATGCTAAGTTTGGTTACTTGTGGCCAGAAAATATTTTGTATATCTGCACCAGAAAGGTCCTGCCTATAGCACACACTAGTTCCATACTGCACTTATCCATGGATAGATTGTAAGTCATTAATAAAATCAATGCTATATATACGGTTATCTGCCATACCAGTAGAATGGTACTTTTTAAACACCTTCTTAGCTTCAACTGACATGTGGAACCCTCGAAACTCTAAAGGTGAAGCACTATTACCCCAAGTCAATATGCTAAGCATTCTGATCTTTAACGGAATTGGTAGAGCTGCAAGGATTAAGCATGCAAGTGGGCATAGGTTTATTTGCAAAAACTGGAGCCTTGGAACATCCAATTTATAGTCAAATTTGTAATTTGGGGCTACAAATGCCAAGGTGCTGCTAATAGCATAATTGCTGGACATAGATAAGATTTCTACAACCATGTATTCAAGCAATGGAAAGGAGAGCATTCCAGTATCAGAATGTTTGTTTGGAGAAAAGATATTCCAATTGAATGATTCGTCAATGTGAACAAGCTCTAGCTTAACCAGGCTGTTTGGGTTTATAGTTGAAAGAATATTGTAGCCAGGATACCATAAAAGGTAAAAATTGGTTAACAAGTCTGTAAGCATCACATTTGTGCCAAGTGCAGATGGTCCCAGTTTAACAGTTTCAAGCTGTGGTGCATATTGGCTGACCAATGCAGATTCAAATGTCAAGCCACTAACTTCACCTGTGCTAGTATTACAACATAAATTTGATACTTGAGGAAGCAAGCACTTCATTTGTTTAGCCATCTCTTGAAGATTCACTGTTGAATCATTCATTTGGGTTGCCGTGAAGCTTATGTTCATGTACATATATGAGACATGGTGAAGCTTGCTCCTGTGTGCTTTAAGCTTTTCTAGAATTTCTTGCAAGCGATGTGCTTTGTCACTTTTATTACATTCAGCCCAAATGTTGATTCCTCGTGGACAATGTGCCATTTTATCAGGCACCAGGTCTAAATCTGTCCCTAATTTATTGACATGCTCAACCGAAACAGTTTTATATGCCATCATCTGTGCAAGATACCTCCACTTTTGGCAAACAGCCAGTATGCTCAAACGACCTATCCAGTATTGGGTTCTGCAGTGGTCTTCCTCACAAATATACTTGAGGATGTCAATGAGAACATCAGCAGGCAAGTTGTTAATATGCATATTTCCTATAAAAGTGTGCCAAAGTGTAAAGAAAGGGAAATGAAGGATAGCAGGCATAGAAAATAGTTCATTCAAGGATTTGTGCAATTCACAAGTGAAATCAGTATCCAATTGGGTGTTTAAATGAAGAAACGCCAATATATTATCCATTCCGAAATGCAAAAACGAAACTGCATTTCCCACCAGCTTATAATACAAATACACATGTATGCGAGCTAAACTGTACTTGTCTGATCAAGTCTTTTGGCAACAAGGAAAAAATGAAATAGGAGCTGTATTCAAGTGGAGCCCTGTTTTATTCACAAGCAATGCAATACAGAGCATGCGGTTGAGAGACGGGCGGGACGATGCGTGGCTTTGTTCCGAGAAGCCTTCCCGTGGCTATTTCCGGCTGAAAGTGAAAGAAAAGGCAAAAAAAATACACACGCGCGCGGCGCAAAAAGCGGGCTCAGCCGGGAATTGAACCCGGGACCTCGTCGACCCGAACGACGAATCATACTACTAGACCACTGAGCCGCAGGACGGAAAAGAAACAAGCTCCTTTACGTTTTTAGGAAAATTGCCACTAGACAGTTAGACTACCCGATCCAGAATTTGTGATTTCTGCCATTTTTTTTATTCCAAGCCGTGCGGAAACGAGCTCAGCAGGGGACTATCTCATTCCGCAACACGTCTATAACGGACAGCCGCGCCTCAACCAATTCATATATTCATATAGTCGCTCTCATTTGGGTCAGCCGGGATTTGCCCCCGCCGATAGCCCCATCCTCTCATCCGCCTAGACGGCAATGGCAGCCTCATAACAGAAGGACCCCCTTCTTCAGCCCCCAGCTATCCACAGCAAGCTTTGTTGTCATTTTGACTAGTTTTGTCGGAGCTACTCAAATACACCCAAATATGCCTGCTCCAGGACACGGCTCAAAAGTTGAAAATAATAAACAGCCAGTCGATTCAGGATCCTCTGGATGCTTGCCGTTGAGGGGGTGGTGGAAGGGTGCGGTTGCTCCAGAAACAAGAAACAAGCTGCGTCGTGTTTTTTTTTTTTGCACAGGAGAAAATAATGTTGCTGTTGGGGGCGGCAAGAAAGCACAGCCCAGCCTCACGTGCCGCAGCCCCAGCAATCCCACCATGGGCGCAACCGCTGCAACAACGAGCGCCTGGGGATAAAGCCAAACCGCAGTCCGCCAAAGACTGTTTTGAGCCGGTTTTCTTTAACCGACTGTACTTTACAGGATCATGTATACAG